ACAGGACAGTGGTTAGATCTACATGAACTCTTTTCCTGAAGTTGGACTGTGGCTATCCGGAATCGGTTCCCACTACAGTTGGACTACAATATTACCCAGGATTTGCTTCAGTACCTTGTTGATTCAGGTGCTGCTGCAGCAGCAGAGTGGCAGCTGCCGTGAAGGCTCCCTCCATCTCCCTCCTGCTGAGGCATGAGGTGAAGGTGGTGGCTTGCACACCTCGGATCCGTCCCCCTAGGTCTGTCACACGAAGCTTGCGTTGAAGCTGCCCACAAGACAAATGCACAGTAATCCATTGTTGTATCGCAATCTCTTGGGACATGTGGCCAAATTTATGGGGTGGGAATGTGCATTTAATATGATAAACATTTACCACAGCTTTAATGCAACATTTTAATTAAGCAATTAGCAAACACTTCAAGAAGGCAGTTGCAGCCTACCTTGGTGTTTACCTAATTCACAAACAATGTACATTATCGGCCAGGCATCAACTCATTCAATGTGCAACAATATAATCATCATCACAACTGCCTGATGACAAACCTGTCACAAACCAGAGATATCTTCAAAGACCTGTGACCTGAGGCTGAACTCTGATAGATGCTTTGAGACACTCAAGGGATACATCTATGTTATGTGCACGGAACAATAAACCTGTCACTCGCTGTCCGAAAAGGCTCTTCCAACAAAGCTGGAGTAGACTTACTAGTTTGTGTATTTCTCATTTCTTTAGACGGCTATGTGATGTTGAAGAAATATGGGAAACTGACAATAAAATTAAAATTCATTTAAAAAGAAAATAATTTGGATTCTGTTTCAATGTTTTGGCCAAATTCGTAAAATGGATTTCGACCCTTTTCGTTTTAAAAATGAAAACATCACACTCTTGGCAGCTGCCTGAGTCAATTCCAACGGACCGCAGACTAATTGCAGGAAAAGGCTCTACTAAAATGGAATCACATTTGTACGCATGAAACATAGCCTTTTAGAAAAGCGAGGCTAAATTTAAGAGGCTAATTTTGAAAAGGGAAATGAATAACTACCCCGAACATAACCTCTTTATTGCACATTACAATAATAAAACTTGTCCCATCGCCTCCCCTGCAATCTGCCAATGCACTCACCACATAGATTGGGCAAGCCAGCAAGCAGCAAGGAAAACAGAAAGTCCACCAGTACACCACCTCCGGGCAGTTGTTGCAGGAGAACATCTGGGAGTACTGGCCATGATTGGTGATCACCACTCGGCCCAGCTTGCAGCGGTAGACAGTGTTGAAGGAACCCTCCCGACCCATTTGGGCATAGAAGTCCCGCAGCCAATCCTCAAGGACCCCATTGAAGTCCAGCTAATTGCAGTGAAAAAGCATACAGAAGGAACACTTTGTGACAAACTGGAACACAGGTGTATGTGCTCATCAGGGAAGAGATTTTATGCGTAGGGTATTACTGACATCAACACCTTATGTGGTTGGTGTTTATTCTTAATTATATTCAGATACTAGTGAAAGAACCTAAGAGCTCCCCCCTTTTTTCCTTTCATTTCAGGGTGAAACAATTTTGGGGTGAGAAGCACACGTCCTCACCTCTACTGCAAATCTCTTGCCCTCTCTCATCAGCTCCATGGCTTCAGTTAGCAGTCCTTTGTAATGATCTTGGAAGTAGGGATGCTGGGAGTTCACAATAACAACAGCCTCACCTGCACGCAGAACAACAATGGCCAGAATGTTGCTAAAATGTAAATACATGTAGCTAGGTTTCAACGACTAGTTCCCCTTCCTTACATGTACATCGTCTCCAGACGTCTTTCTGACGTCGAATGTGGGGACTGTTAGCCGTGAATGATTTGTGGAGGAATTTCACCTGGTTTATGTTAATGAGGAAATTCACACATGGCTGCTCCCACAATGCAATAAGTAGATATACATGTAGAGTATGAAATACTTGCTTTGTGCACTTTATTTAGTGAAGACAAGTTCAGCAAATACAAACAGCAAGGTTTGAGGGGGAGTAGTGGGAATTACTGATCCTGAGATGAAGGTCAGGTGACCTTCTCCCGACGCGAAATGGAGGGAGGTAGTCTAGCTGACCCACACCATGTTAAGATGACTTGAACTCTGGGTAAAATCACAGGAAATGGTCAATGAAATCAAAATTGGTATCACAACTTCTGGAGTTGAATGCACCAACTAATATGTAACACTGCAGTGTCCAAGTGGAAGGGACTCAAAGGAAAATTTTCCAGCCTACCTCTGTCTATGTACCTAGTGTTGCCTGACTTGTGCAGTCGCTTCAGATCTACCGTGAAGAAGAGAGGCAGCTGGAGAAATTTCTGAGTTAGGTTCTCCAGTTCACCTTCAGTGGACACCTTCAGGATACTGTCATGGGTTAAGAAAAAGGAACACGTAACCCCATCAGGTGGTGGGGGGGGGAACAAAAAAATGGAGGCTCACGGCTAAGGACCTTGTCAAAAATCTAGTTGACTTCTGAGTATCTTTGCCATCAGAGGCATTTAAAGAAACATCAGACATTCACAGACGGCCTTTTTCATCAAGACTATGATGCATCAGTTGAAATATTTGAGAAATTCAGTGGACCACTGGGCTGCTTCTGCAGTTCCTAGAACATTGAGATTTTTGACCAAAAAATATCAAGAAAAGAAAATGGAAATAACCATAGGACGGTACCATTGCCGTTATTTCTACTTTCACTTTTGAGTAAAACTTCTTGTTTGTGAATTACAATGAAGTTGGTAACACGTTTCTGAATGGGAAGATTTCCATATGCCTACATGTACGGACATCACTATTTTTTTTGGTAGTACATATACATGTGGTTTATTAGCCATCAGAAGGTGATAACATTTCTGAAAAAGTCAAATTTAGCACTGAAAATGTTGAACTATTTACTTAGGAAACAATCAGAATTTTGCCAACCAGTCTCATACATGTAGGGTTTGTACATGTACACGTATGTACATGTACTTGGGGTGTCAAGTGACATCCAGGTATGGAACTCTTACCGACAAAATGTCCACTTCTGTGTCAAAATCGCTCAAAACAGACTCTTTTTTGGCAGTGGTGTTTAAGCTTAGGAACTTTTCATACACTGATGGCATCAAATATCCTAAATACCATATTCAATGGTAAAATTGCAAAATCAACTTGCCAAATATTCGTGTGTTGTATGCTCTTTGGGTTTGTTTCATTGCCTAGTAAATATGTCACATAAAATTGTCAAGAAAGTCAGAATTTCTGATGCTGAATGTCTCACCTTCCCATGGATTCCGGGAACAGTGCAGCCCTATCTTGGGACTGGTCACAATTCATGACGCGACGGGGGTCATGGCTGAAGTATTGATGTGTCGGCCCATTGACCACGGTGAAGAAATCTGGCCGGACTTGCAGAAACTCCTTAAACAGTATGACATTAATGGCTGGCCCAGTAGGTGTCAAATCCAGACAACGGACCAAAGGCATCTTGGTTGACTTTATTCAGTGCTCACAGCTTGGGATGTAAATAACAATATCGTGATCTTATGCATCAAGCATATTAAGTGGTACATGTTGAATGGTCATACATGTAGATGTACGTACATCACAGTGACTTTTATTAGTTGAGAATTGGTCACCTGATCTGCTACAAGCGAGGATGTATCATTCATGCGATGAGCCACTGGCGATGTTGCCGGGCCACAAAACATGATGGATAAGGCTGATCTTTCCCATGGTTGATGTGCAGTGTACTGTGTTGTAATCGTGTAATCTTGGGTATGAGGGTGGACAGCCGTGGTGGTGTTACGCACCAATTATTATAGGAGATGTGCATTGAGTGGGGAATATTGAAGCACTGTGTCTGTTCACAAGTGCTACATGTACTTCACTTTGACCATGATGGAGACCTGCGGGTTCTTTGACTTCATGCCCCCAGCTGTGCTCGTGGAACACGAGTTTGCTCCGAAGCATCTGATCACTATTTCTGCTGCGACTGCCATTGTTATATAACACACTCATGTGGTTGTCTCTTCTCAGCTCTTCCATCTTGTCTTTTCCTCGTAATTTAATATCTTATTTGCTGTTCAAGTTTTTCAATTTGTCAAAGTGTTTTAATTTATCTGGCAATAAAATATGCACATATTTATACACATAAGACCGTTCCAGTGTTATCTATGACCATGATCATTGTTGCCTGCTGCGACGGGATCCATGGGTTTTGTACACCCTCAGGGGCATATGACCCCCTCGGTTTCACGTTGAGCGCCTGGCTCAGGTGTACAAAACACCATGGACCTCTACACCACAGGTAAATTGTCAAATGTTGGGCTGAGTCAGTCGATATACATGATGGATCCATCTTAGCATGATCAGTAGTGCCAAGCTATGGCATGAATTGCCAATAATTCAACCATCAGCCGATTGCCTTTACTAATTTCTTTCTCATTCACGAATCACGCTTGTGAAAAACTATTTAACATGTTTAACCCCTTGACAACAGGAATTTCTTTCTGAAAGGCAACTCCAAGAATTCCAGCCTCACTTGGCCACGAAGGCCACCTGCCAAGCCGTAAATTCTCGGCTGGTGGCCCTGCATGCTCTGCACACTTTGAATTACACGGTGAAATGGCTGATTGTTCGGTGGCATGCGGCTCTACTCACGCTTCCACATTCCTGTTGCCTCTTTTCAAAGTGGGGACTATTGTGAAACTGGTGATTATGATGCAAATTCGGTCTTTTCATTTCTGGGCTACACACAAAGGCCAATTACCATATATACAAGAGCCAGGGTCTGCCTTCTTTCACCGTGTTCGCTCGAGCATGGGCCAAGAATAATAGCTGAAAAGCAGGCTGAGGATCTCAATTTTTGCGGCGGGTCTTGCCGCATCCCAGCGCGAAGGGGTTAAGTAATGGTGGGCATGTTGCACATGTAGATTTCATTTGGAATCAACGAACTGCTCTTATGTCAAGGAAAAGGCGATTAACTAGATCAGCAGACAACGCCCAACATTAACCGAAATTTCACTAGGCCCAACTCTAGGTGGGACCATCCCAACTATGGTGCGATAGTTGGGCTGGCTCAACAGCAGCAGTGCGTAGATGCCAAAGTCATGGAAAGAGTTCCATATACATGTAGGGATGCCACTTGACAGGCCATGAGCAAACCCATTGAGACTGAGTCTGAAAATTCTGGTCTGAAAGTGTTTTCCAAGTAAACAAATTCGTATTTTCCCTTCTATTAAATTGAACTTTTCTGGACATGTTTTCACTTTCTGATGGCTAGGTCGCAGTATGGAATAATTACTGGCATCCGTAGATGGAACTCTTCTCTACATGAATTTGTGTAACCTACATGTACATCAGCGACTCATGCTTGCAGAAAAATGTGAAGTGGCGGGGTATTCTGCAATTGCTCCAAGTGCCATATTCAGGTGATATCTTACTTACATGGAGATGAATTATGTCACGTGTGAGCTGTATGAACTTGTGGGAATGTTGAGAAAATTTCTACAGAGATTGGCCAACAACAGTTGGGCCAGCCAAACTGCGGCATGGTGATAGTTGGTGCGTAACAACGCCACTCCCTCTACATACATGACATAGCCTAAATCTCTTGCCATATCAAAGCATGTTTCATTTCCAAACAGTTTGTTCCTCAGCCTACCGGACATAATCTGGACGGCAGCCATGGCAATCAGATGATAGAGCAATGCTCTATCATGTCTACAGTTTACAGGATACAGGCCCACAAACAATATTGAGTGTTTATGTACAATAAAATAAAAATTAAAATATCTGCAATCTGGACAAGGAAAATTAATTATGGGCTAGACGATGGCATGCGTTCAAAACTTACAACTTACAAGAAACCTCCCCGCTCAACTGGCAACGCTCGATCAAAACGAGAGAGTGCGACTTTTCACTCCACGTTTTGATATGATAAAGGAATGGGAGCACACTGCGTGCAGTATATATGCACTGACACTCCTGTAAACACATGACGTCACCACTTGCTGAGGTTACATCGGCATATCGAAGCACGTTGAGGCACGCATCGCATCGCATTGCATCGCATCGCATCGCACCCATAATGCATTGTACGCGGTATATTTAGGTACGGTAGAGGTACTGTGAAAGGCTTAATTACTACGCACTGGACGATGGTATAACCATCTTGTGCTTTTTGATGCCTAGGTAGGACCATGTAATAAGGTGGGACCAGGGGAATCTTCTATAAGCCTACAATGTAAATAGACACCAAAAAAAGAGAGAAGATATCCAGTTTAATTCTACGTTCTAACGTTATGCAAGGTTACGTGCAGTGTGTTCAGGCGAAGTGTGCAATGTGTTTGGGTCGTTTTTCGTCAGGAGAAATTTCAGAGGGTGATAAACATGGTATCGTAAAACCTCGGATTCGTTCAACTTGTAATAATCAGTCGCTTGTTCTTAAAATCATAAATTCGACTGCCAAACTTTGCCTAGATATAAGTGTACATTTGCTGATGTGTACTTAATCACTGTTAATCAGGGTGTTTCATGCATTTTATAAATGAATGAAAATGGGCACAGGAAAATGTTTTCCTGTTGGGTGCGATTTCATCATATTTGCATCATACTCAGTTTCACCTTTGCACCCCTAGACTTGTGTACATGTTATCTGCTGTATGAATTACATGTAAGTACATATAGAAATGCAGATCTTGCCTGTATCTTGTTGGAAATGTTGATTATCACAAATAAACTGGCTTTTTTTCTGTGTAGGCCTACCGATTTTGTTAGAGACAAACACACTTGCCAAACAAGATGGCGGGATTAGACATGGACTTAACGCCGTCAGGCGATGCCATCTACATTACACTGCTTGAGGAGTTCCAACGCTGCCCACCTCAGTTCTTTACACCAAATCCTAGCAGTACAGTCTTTCGACATGACGTGGAGCAGGTCAACGTTTGTGATCGATCCAAGAGGTCCAAATCAATGTTTCCGGACTCCATGGGAGGGTGAGTGTCGCATTGGTAAAGTACAGATATATTCGGGGCATGACAGTGTCTGTTACTTGTTAGTCAGTTTTCAGATTTTGGCCATTCATTGTCATACTTGTATTTAAAGACTTAGCATTGAATAACTAGTGTGATTGTGTCTTGTAGTTCGCCCTGTGCTGTACAGTGCCTTTTGCTTTGTTATATTTTTGCTGTACTTACACATTGATCTCTTTTTTCAGCCAGCTCCCATTTGCCTTGAGGTTTCAAGGTTTTCTTGCTCTTTTTATGTCGTTTTTTGCAGTGTTCTTGTCATATCGACCGAGGCGCAGTTACAGCAGCTTACGTCTCGTCTCTTGGAAAGGCCGATTTTCTTCACGGTTGACATTGAACGCACAGTAAACGAGATGTGCTCTAAAGTTACCCGCGAGACTCGGGGTTCGTACAATTTCAGCAATGCAAACTATGTACATTCATTTAACCTTGGCCCTCTCAAGATCCCATAAAAAGCCACCCTCTACATGTAGGTTTTGGGGATTTTGCAGTACCTGATACCCCTTGAAAGTGTAAGTATGTATCAAAATGTGTAGAATGGCTCTACACGGTGGATTTAGGAGAATTTTGGCGGCTCTTCAGGCAAAAAGAACTTACTGCTACATGTAGATGTCACAATATAAGGAAGTGTGGTGTTTGTGTTACTGCAACTCCAAGAGAAGACCAGCAGGGGCCAATTTCATAGAGCTGCTTAAGCACAAAATTTGCTTAAGCATGAAAAAACCTTGCTTGACAAATCAGGTTACCAGCCCAAACTCCATGTGATGTATATTGTTTTGGAATGGTATTCACCTGTCTTTTGGTTGACGTGACAATCACATATATTTTGAGCTGGTAACCTTTGTTTTTTAAGCAAGGTTTCTTGCGCTTAAGCAGATTTTGTGCTTAAGCAGCTCTATGAAATTGGCCCCTGCTGGTCTTCTCTTGGAGTTGCAGTAACACAAACACCACACTTCCTTATATCGTGACATCTACATGTAGCAGTAAGTTCTTTTTGCCTGAAGAGCTGCCCAAATTCTCCTAAATCCACTGTGTAGAGCCATTCTACACATTTTGCTACATACTTACACTTTCAAGGGGTATCAGGTACTGCAAAATCCCCAAAACCTACATGTAGAGGATGGCTTTTTATGGGATCTTGAGAGGGCCAAGGTTAAATTGGTTTTGATTTGAAATTTTAGGGATTTATTGACTTACAGAGTCCTTCAACACTGGAGCGGACTTGTGAAAATAGGCTCTTGCTCATTGCCAGTTCTCCAACAACTCTGAAGAAATGACATGTCCTGACAGGATTGCTTGCCGGTGGAAATGAGTTTCCCTGCAAGCACTCTACTTGCAAGGCCTCATTGCTTGGGTGGAGTACAGCCCACAGACCACTCGTGCCCCAGGCCTGTGGAATGCTTAGCCCCGCTATCCTCAGTCCTGTGAGAGCGACTCACGTGTATAATCAAGACCTTAATGTGTCTTTGAATTTCACAGGCAGGTTGGCTGTGACTGTCAACACCAAACACCCTCATGTCCACCAGCTGATGATGTCGTGGCTTGCTCAAGGTGCAGATGCCTTGAGACGTGGACAAAATTTTGCTGTTGAGGTAACAAGATCATTTTCTGACTTAGTATTGGTTTCAGTTGCATGATTTCACAATCAAACAGGCCCACGTCTCCATACATCAAGTTGGATTTAAGTAAAGCGCTATCGCCGTTGGCATACTACCCTGAAAATAATCAATATTGGCACTAGGCAAAATGCTGCTGTACCCAATTGTTGCAAGAAAATTCATGTGGGTTCATAACTCCACAAATTGTCCTTTTTTGTATTTGAACTTTTGGTCTGTAGTAATTATTGTACGTGTAGTTATTTGCCAAGCGAGTAGAACGAAGACTTGGTACTTTGGTGGCATGTCCAGTTTTTGTCCTGTAAACCTTTGGATGTCATGCAAATTTGTGCCCATATCAACTCTCTGTGATCTTGAATTATGCGACTTCTCTTATTATACCACTGTCAGTAAATTGAGTTACTTGCTCCTGCCAATCATGTTGTTTCGTCATCAGTTTGACTTCGATGGCATCTTCATTTCCTGGTTGAAAGATGTCTATCAGCGTGCCGACATGGAGGTGTTTGATTGCGGCTGGAACATCATGTACAGCTGCAAGAATGGCAAAGTGACCGTCACAAACTACTCTGAGTTTGATGACATGTTTGCTTGCGAGCCTTCCCTGGCCATAGCGTGCGTCATATGTCTCCCATGCTGTCTATTGGCGTTTCCCTGTTACAGAGTAAGTGTGAACTGTTCTTACATGGACATGTTAGCAGAGGAGTTGTGCGGAGTTGGCACAGGGTCTGGTAGATTCGTATGCAAAGAGGCGAGGGTCTGGGAAATCTGTCGCATGCCAGAGAGAGAGAGCTGATCAGAGTTTTATCATTGATACTGTGCTCAGCTACAGGCCAGAGTGCAGTGCAGCATTAACTGGGGTGCTGTGTCACGCTGTGTCCGAGTGGCATGAAAATTCACCCCGACAGAAATGCTCACAGTGATTCCAACTGGAGTTTCAGTGCGTCATCACCGGCAAAGAATACACGGGCTACTAGGAAGTTTATTAAGTGGACTCATGCATTCGCTTGGCGCACATGCAAAGACTAAGCATCCAAATAGAAATTGGTGGCATGTGGTCGGCACACCTTGAGCCAAATGGCCATGAAGCTGTGTACACACATGAGGCGAGTTCTCAACAAAGGACTCGCCTTGCTACGTGTATTTAGAAAAACAAGCCCTCTCCTGTTCACGCTCGGAGCTTATATCTTGGCAAAATTCTGGAGCGGTGGCGTCCCTCGGGGCATAACTTGCATTTAGGAAATACAGAGTGCTGATACCACTCAGGAACAGTGTTCCAAAATGGAACTCCAAATACTGCTTCCCCACTCCAACGTCTCCTCAGTCTGCACGGTAGTCAGGACCTAGATGGACTGAAAAATTTGCCAACAGTTCGTGTTGTGAAATGTTGTGTACTGTTTAAACTAGTTAGGCTTTGGGGTTTGGGTGGATGGTAACCAGATGTGAAGTGGAAGCACCCAAATGTGGCTGTAGCCATGGCAACAGTTTTAGTTTTGGGACATTCCATGCATTAGGGGTCCGCTTTTTTTGTGTCCCTGTTATTATGACACATGATTTTGTCAGTTTAGAACAATTCTCTAATTTTCACGAGTGATGAATTGATGCAAATTACCTACCAAACTAATAGAAATAGTTTGAAATCCATTTCAGTAATATTTCCATGTCAAATTACACAGGTCAGGTGTAACAGGGACACAAAAATGTCACAATTTGGACTCCAAATTTATCAAATGACTCTTTTTGATTTTTTTTTCTCCATTATTGTTTGTAGCTTTTATAAGTGGTTCTTTAGGCTTAGGTAATCAGCAAAATTCAGCAAAATTCCATCGTTAAACCTTGGTTAGTTTTGACTGGTACTCAATGAGCCTATTTGCATTCCATTAATCTCTCACCAAAAAGAAATTTAAAACTGACGCCATGATATGAGAGCCAGTGCATTGTGTGCACACGCTGGTTTCACGTACTCAATAGCTGCATGCAACTGACTAATGCATGCAACCAATTTTCAGCAGAATGGGTACAGACTTGTAACTCTGAGAGTTACGTGTCCGAATCTGTAAGCCTAGTGGAAATGACGACAAAGCGACTCTTAATTCAGCGTTCTTTGCATTTTGAAGGTGATTGCTCTCTGCAAGAAAAGAACACTCACTCTGTTAAGAACATGACTTGGACTGTTTCTCCTTCACTAGATCCATCGAGCCATCAAGGTGGAGGACTTTGGTGGCAAGGTCAATGGAATCAAGGCCACCTACTGGAATGCCAACGCACAACTACAGGGCATGGAAAGCGTTATCACTCATGTCCTGGCACTGATTGCTCAAGACAATGCTGCCCAAGCTAGGACAGTGGATATGCCACCGTCGTATGGTATGCACCAATCTTATCAAGCCCTTTTAAAAATTCAGGGAGAAGGTTGCCTTTCACAAAAAAAAAATTTCAAGTCAGAAATGTTGAATATATTATAGTTTTTGTGTAGTTTTAGAAATTTTGTTGGGCAGAATATAAATTCCTGATAATGTAGACGCAGTTACTGCCTGTTCCATTACAGATGCTGCGGTTGGAGATCCTGTGGTTGGTGGGGGCCAACAACGAACAAGTCATCTGGGAGGAATCCAGCAACCAGTAGGCCAGCCTGTAGTGCAGCAGCCAGGGTATGCCCAGCCCATGGGCCAGCAGCCAG